AATATTAGAATTTTAGACATCATACTTTAGTGGCTTAAGGGAGTCCAAATAACATGAAACACAACTCATGTTGTAGGAAAAATTATTTCTATGTATTGAATAAAGCTGGGTGGGGGCATATAGAATAAATTCTACCTGAGGATCACTAATTGCTTCAATCTCAGACCTAAGACTAAAATCAGCATTTACTCTGCAGCACTACAATGTAAGCTAATTTAGGAGATTTTTAAATGTTGTTTAAATAGATCGCTTTAAGGTCAGACTTTTACTTGGGTCTGTATTGACCATATTTTCTTTTCTTTTCACAGTTTAATGTTCTCCCAAAATAGGATATTATTTGTAAGAACATATATGTGTTTTCAGTCTTATAGGTTTTGCACTACTTATAGATTTGCACTACAAATTAATTCAAGAGCCCTAAGGAGGAAGGAGCCCTGGCCGGTGGCAGAATGGTTAGAGCACATATCCATTCATATCTCAATGAATTTATATCTTTCTTAATTGAACACGCTCATCTACTAAGAACCCTCTTATTTCACTAATGTTACTAGATTTCCTTCTCCTGCTATAACACAGTCCCCAGGCTTCGCCTCTCCTGCCCGTCCTGCCGGGGTGGTTGGGGGTGTTGGGGAAGCAGTGACTTCACGGGAGGCCCTGGGACTGGGTCCCTGGGAGAGGCCTGCCTCAGGCGCTGCACCGCTGGGAGGCACATGCCCACTGTGGGCCGACAGGTTGTCCAATGCGGAGGGCGAGCTTTCAATTTTAAAGCGGTGCTTCCGAGGTCTGGGGCCCACCGAGAAGGCGATACAGCCACGAACCCAGCTTGCTAAACGCCTCTGCCCCGCCTTCTATCAGATGACCCACAACCCTCTTGGATTAGGGTCTTTGCAGGTGGAAGACAAAGACCAACGCCTTGGCCTCAGGAGGTCAGTTTCAGAGCTGAGCAGCCAGCCACGTGTGTGCTCCTGGCCATGTCTGACCTGCCCTGGCAGACAGCGTGCCCCTCTCACAGGAGTGACAGACGCAGTCGCTAAGTGGTTAGTGGGCGATGCTCGGGGGCAGGCAGCGGACTCCGCGCTCCTGTGCAGCGAAGGATGCGGCCAGGCCCCTCCGCCTGGACCAGAGCGGCATTGCCCCACAGCAGCCCCTGGCGGCATGCGGCCATCTGCTCACTGAAATGCCACAGACCAAAAATCTGTCCTCAGCGCCCAACAGTCACCGTGGCCAGCGGGCAGGTAGCGGACATACCATTGGCATCAGCACAGAAAGTGCCGGAGTGGAGGCATCACACCGCCCGCGTCCAGAGCCTCGCCTCCACCCCCAACGGTGCCTTCAGCAGAGCACTGGCATCTCCTGCACTGCTGCGGCCTCAGCGGCAATGGACCGGTGCCTGGGCCGCAATGCGGTGCGGGCAGGTACACTGACATCACCTTTTCTTTGCTTTCTTATCACCTTCCCAGGGCCCCAGGGGAAACTGCGCACAACACAGGCTCTAGCAAAGACTGCTGTGAGGACGACAGGCGAGGCAGGCCCAGGGCTTTGGGAGCTCGGTATTCACAGCCAGGACTTGGTGTTATTCCCACACACATGCACGTAGTAAGACAAGCATGGCTTCGAAAGCATAGCAGCTCTCTGCAGGCAGGTCCTGTGGCGGTGGAAAGACACACCAACATAACGGAATGGGTTCTCACTGGCAAGCGGCCTTTTGTAGACGAGTACGTTCCTACAGGGTTTAAAATAAAAAGATCAAAGATCATGCTTCCTACTCATGTCTTTCACTTTAATGCTTCAATCTGCTTTTCTGCAGGTTTGGAAACAGTAATTTGTTGCTGTCATTTGAGAGGGAATACTGTATTTTTAAAATTTGTCTTTGGGAGGGTCTGGCAAAGCTTTCCTGCAAAGAACCAAAGAGTAAGTATTTTAGGGCCACAGGTCTCTATCACAGCTATGTCTGTGCTGAGGAAGGTGAGAGCAGCCACGGACAACAGGCACCTAAGTGGGTGTGGCTGGTGCCAATTTGTAAAATAGCCCCTTGGCCTTCGTGTGCCAACTCCAGGTCTATTCCTCACTCTTTTTAAAAATTTATTTTTTATGCTCACCTGAAGCTATTTTTTTTCATTGATTTTAGATAGAGTGGAAGGGGGGAGAGGGAGAAAGGGGGAGAGAGAGAGAGAGAGAGAGAGATAGAGAGAGAGAGAGAGAGACACACTGATTGTCTTCTGCACCTTCCCCAACCAGGCCAGAGAACAAACCTGCAACCTAGGTACATGCCCTTGACTGGGAATCGAACCTTTGACCCTTTGGTGTGCGGGCCGATGCTCTAACCATCGAGCAACATTGACCAGGGATCCTTCCCCCATCTTGCCAGTTTCTCACCACAATTACATGTTTCTTTCATTTAATTTTTGAACATATATCACACCCTGCAAATGACCACTGACTTTTAAATGTTTGATTTATATGTTTCAAAATATAATATTCTTTTAGTTTTTATTAAGGTCTTAATAAACACTATTTTTCTTCAGGATAACTTTTTTCCCCCTCAGACAGCAAATTGAAAGGAATGCACATAGCATACAAATTGTAAAAAAACTAATTAAAAACGATCCGTGGGTCTAGTCAAGCTATTTAAAATGTCTTGACTACTTTACTAATTCATGAACTGAGTTACAACTTAAATAGAAAACCAAAATTGAGCTATGTGCTTCAATGCCATTACTTCTTACGCAGACATTCATGTTCAAGACAAATAAGTGAAGGTGTCTGGATGGCTCAGGCGGCATGTGCACAACACACCTGGGCCGGGCACGCACAGGCGAAAGTGGGCTCCAGAGAGCTGGCGAGAAGAGAGGACAGCATCATGACATTTCAGAACTGGACGTCCTATGGAATCACCTGTTCACCCTCACTGTGTTATGGTTCATGAGTGCGGCCGTCCTGATTTTTCTTTCCCAGAATACACTGCTTCTCCTATTAGCTCTCCAGCTCTCCTGGCGGACCCCTCGGCCCTGTGCTCAGCGCTGAGAGCTGGATGAGGCTGGCGGTGTCCTCGGGCCAACATGGAACCAGACAGACTCACCAGAGCCTCTAACTCACCAGGACTGGCTGAGAGTCAGGGTGCTGGCCCATGTCGGCATCTCCGTTCTGGGGTTTCTTAGAATCACCAGGGGAGAAGCTTCCTCTCTCGTTCTTCCTCCCACTCTCTGTTTCTTTAATTCTCTTTCTTTTTTCGTTCTCTCCTGGGACCCCGTCCTCTTTTAAGGATGCTGAGCTTGACAAAATGTATGTGGGATGGCAGCCATTCTGCCACCTCAGAAATGACCTGCCTGGGAATGAAGCCGCAGAGAGAGCTGGCCTGAGACCCAGGGTCCAAGTTCTGAGGGCGTGAGCCTCTGGATGCAGCCTTAACTACAACCAGAAACCTGCCTCTGTACTCATAGGAGCAAAAACAGTTCCTCCTCTTCTTCTTAAGCTTGACGTGGGTTTTTGTCCTTACAAAAAGCGTCTGGAGAATAGGCTGACTCAAATAAGTGAACCTTTCACATCCTCTAAATGTGGTACTTGTTCTAGGAGACTCATGGAGACTAGCAGGTCTGGTCCAATCCTACATGCGGAGCAGTTCAGGTAAAATGTGTGTGCTACCCTGTAAGTTTCCTGGGCTGCAAGTAAGCTTACATCGTCACCCTGTTTCATGGGTATCGCTGCTGAGGACATAACCAACTTTAAGAAAATATTGATCAGGCCGAAACCGGTTTGGCTCAGTGCATAGAGCGTCGGCCTGTGGACTGAAAGGTCCCGGGTTCAATTCCGGCCAAGGGCATGTACCTGGGTTGTGGGCACGTCCCTAGTAGGAGATGTGCAGGAGGCAGCTGATCGATGTTTCTCTCTCATCGATGTTTCTAACTCTCTATCTCTCTCCCTTCTTCTCTGTAAAAAATCAATAAAATATATATTAAAAAAAAGAAAATATTGATCAGATTGAAAGGAAATACTTTGCATATTTGCATGTAGTACAGGTGAGAGGGAGACTTGGAGGGGATGCGAGGTCAGCAGCACAGGGCGCTGGAGTGGGTGATGCAGAGGCCTTCGGGTCTGCCATCAACACACTGCCCCTGGCTCCACTCCGATCCCAGCCAGGAGAGCTGGGCCTACTCACCCCAGCAATCATCCTACAAACAGTTACAGAATCCACACTGTGCTCAGCACCAGGGGCAGATTTGAGCAGCACAAACTCAGACACTTGGAGCTTCCAAGAAAAAACAAACAACACTTACTCCTGATCACACCTCTGTGGTCAAATAAAAGGGGTGGCTATTTGCTCATTACTAAACTAACCCTCTTACAAAATGATCGCATAAGTCAATTCCCTTACAATCCCCTCGAAACTGGATTAGAAACATCGAGACACATGTGTTGTGAACACAAGTCTTTACAAAGAGCAAAACACTCGAATATGATGATTTTTGCCTAATTGGCAAAATATATATTATTCCTTTTACCATGCTAACTAGTTGTTTAAACTATCAAAACACACCAAAAAAAAGGCATAATTGGTATTTTTCACTTATTAAAAAATAATAATAAAAAAAACATGGCAAACATGGAGCTACAACATGACTTGTCACCTTGTGGCCGTGCGGAACGAATGAGAACTGGGCAAACAAAAAAGTCTGGTCTGCTACACGTTTATATGTTGATGGGAAAACTGTTACCACTGGCAACTGAACCTCATTAGATGAGAGTTTATGTTGCCGATTTCCTGTAGCATGTTGCAGACTGAGGTCACATTTTAACCTGTTAAACCCCTGTGACACTTCTGGTTTGTATATAACTTTTATTCCTTCATTGAATAATCTCCTAACAGAAATGGTTGCTGCTGAAGTTGAGTGAAACTGCACTAATCCTGGAACCACATAATACATAACCCAAATTTCCTAATTTTTGGAGAAAAGTGTTTAAGGAATAATATTGACAAAAATGAGAAATACACAGATCTTAGAGTTTACAAAACAGGATTTTATTTCAATTTGTGTACAAATAAAGATTTAGCAAAATATCATCGTAAACCTAATTCGCTCCCCCCTCCCAATGGGCACTATAGGAGAAGCCACATTCTCTTAATTACGTGCCCCCAGTTGGTAGATGCTGGGGGCTCAAAAAGGGCAGGGGGGAGAAGGTATTGACACTCACGATAACATTACAATGATGTCTCATCTTGGAATGTCTGAATTAAAGAGATCTCCATAAGAATCAGCTCTCTTCAGTTTTCACATTAAATAAAATCTACTAAAAAATCACAAGTAAGGCTTCTGGCTTTATTTCGAGTGAGGTAAGGAGTATTCTCAGTATTAAGGCAAAGGTAAGAATATATGGAATATCATGTGCAGTGTGGACCTTCCACTGTAAAATATATTTTGGAATATTCATGGGTTTCCCCAGCATGTGCTGGAATAGGGAACGTGGAAAAGCTGTGACAGTGTTAACAGCTATTTGGTTGACTGTCTTTGCTGCACCTGCTAGAGTTAATGTGTTAAGGTAGTCTTGCCTGAGTTTGCACGGCCTGTGATGTGTTATTGTTCAAGATTAAATGTCACACAAACTGCCAATAGACGCTCCCCAGCCTCGGCCACACAAGGTCTACTGAGCAGGCAGAGAAGTGTGAGCACACCGGGCGCTAATTTAATAAAGACATAAGTGAAAGCAGATTAGTCTGTCTAGATATCTGGTTCAAGAAGATACAGAATTAGGATTTTTCACAAATGGTCTTGCTTCTCCCCTTCCCGTGTTTCCCCCAGAGAGATAACCATTTCCTTCAGCGAGGAGAGAACCAGCCCTTTCTACAGCAAACGGACTTCGTCCTCCGGGTCAGGGCACAGGCTCACTTCTTAGCTACGCTGGCCACGGCCTTCTTGGCGGCGTCCTCCAGGTCGACGGCCGAAGTGATGGGGAGCCCGCTGCTGCCGAGGATGCGCTGGGCCTCGTGGACGTTGGTTCCTGGGAGGGGCAGGGGCACAGTCACTGCTATGGCACTGGAGGTTCCCCCAGAGGCAAACCTAACATGACCCGACGCCCCGTCTCACCAGCGCAACCCAATTACGACTCCCTTTCAGCTTTTTACGATGCAGATCTGGCTACTGAAATAAATCCAAACGACAAATTTATTTTCCCTGCTTTCCATCTAACTGTCTGGCATTAAAGGATACTGCCTGTATTTTCTCTGGCATTTAGAAAATGAAAATAACGAGGTTCTTAGAAGATCATGAAAAAAGAAAGATTAACAACCACTTGTTCAATGAGTTTGAAAAAGGAAAATCTGAAATGGATTTATCCCTTGGCTGAACGGTCTGAACACGGGGTCTAAAGAAAAAGCTTTGTGTCAAAATGAGCAAGAGAAGGAAGCCGAGGGGCGGGTGGCAGGGACACTGGCCGCCACACGGAGGGCGCGTGACTAGTGACCTGGACCCCGTGCGCCAGGAGGTGGTGACACAGGTCCAGCCCGTGTCCCGGCAGGAGAGGCCACGGGGAGATCTGTATCAGAGTGGTCCAGCTGGAAAAGAAGGCGCAACAGAGGACTTCCGAGATAGCGACACTTTGCACTGATGAAAGCTGTGATCACTGGTAGCCAGTCAGGTAGAGGCACCGAAGTGGGGTCCTAATGAGGGAAGGTCTGAGTGTGGCCTCATCTGAGACCTGCGGTTCAGACAATCTGCCCACCTGTGGCCTCGAACCACGCTGTGCGACAATGACAGTGTTCAACACGCTCCATTCTGCTTCCCCTCATCCTACATAACAGGGGGAGGCCCGGCAAGGAGCGCGCCAGGCCGTCCTGGTGGGTCTGCGGCACTTGCCGGCCCCCACCCCCGAAGGTTTGCTGGGACCGACTACTTAACATGCAAAATGCTTTTCTGTCCTTTCAGGGTGAGCAGCCCCAGGGAGAAATGTGATAAAATGTGAGTCTAACGAAATAGCTCATCTGACATCACTTCCTGTGCCTTTACCTAGTTGGCCAGACAGCCTATTCATAAGCAAGGACCTAGGAGCCCGGGCCTGGGACGGCCCAGGAGGACGTAGAAAGGAGCCGGGCAGCGTTCCATGTGGAGGGAAAGGCGAGTTAGTGAGCGGCAGGAGTGAAAGGTGATGTCATGTGGATTCTCGGGGCTCCGGGCCCACGGAAGCTGAGGGGAAGGGCACTGGGCACTGGGTCTCTGACTCAATGCTCACTGGCCACTGCTTGACACGGAAATCGGACGAATGTGCTCCCTGCGAAGCAACAACCCCAAAGGTGGGAAGCCATTAGCTGAAACCCGCCTCTCCCTGCCCCTGTGGTGCGTGAGTGTACAGTTCTGGGTAAATGATTTAACTGCTTTATCTCCAGACATAACATTATGACCATCTTCCTGACAGCGAATAGTTACTAAGCACGTACATATGCCAGGCTTACTGTCAGTGACTTAGATGCGTTCTTTCCGACGACCCTGAACAGGTGCTACTGCCCCTGTTACAAGATGAGGAAACTGAGGCACAGAGAGGAGGGAGAGCGTTTGTGGTCACACAGGGGCGGTGGCAGTGATGGGCGGGAGCCTGTTCTCTCTCAGCACTGTCCTAACTGTTCCCAGAGCGATGCTGTCTCCTGTACGAGGTGAGGCTGCTGGGAGCACAGGCCGACGACAGGCAGAGCTCACACCTGTGACAGCGCTTTGCAAAGGGCAGTGTCGGTGGCCAGGCCAGCGCCCAGCGGCTCCTGCTCCCCGTCCAGTGGGAGCAGAGGCTGGGGGGGTGGCTGCCCACCAGGGAGCGGCGCCAGGCCCCTGGCCTGAGTCATGTGACTGAGTTCTGGCCACTGGAGGGCAAGGGATACAAAACACACACCCGTAAGACCTGCATGTGGCCCTGCACCCTTTGCCCTGCCCGCCTTCTGGACGCCACCGGCCAGGCCTCCCTGCAAGGCGGCAGCGAGGCCGCAGCGGGTCACTGGGTCA